GTTGAACCGTAGCATTCCTAACTGTCTCTTGTTTCAGACAAACTCGAATACCGAGTGACAAACAAGTACTCCGAGGACCTCCGTCCGACACTGAGCAATAAACCTACCACCAGAACCCGGGCTACTCGAAAACTTGGGTTCCCAAGCCCGTCAATCCCCGTGAATCCCCGTGAATTGTTTTACCGCTCTGGCTTTTTACGTTCAAGGTCGGGGACCGTCCTCTGGCGTGCAAGTGTGCTATGTAGCGCATGAGTTGTGTTGATACCGGGCGGTCTGTGCAGTTTCAGGACCCGAAGCGTTTGAAGGCTCTGTTTACACGTTTGGATGTTAACAAAGATGGAAAAATATGTAGCTCCGATATCATGCGAGTGCTGGAGGAATTACACGGGGCGAACAAGCCACATATGTCCGGAATAGCCGAGGTTGGTGGTCCTGTCTATTTTATTTTATTTTCACCAGAGCTTTCTAATGCGGTGCGGAGGCTCGAGCAGTGGTTACGTTACGTTCCCGGAGTTCGTAGATTATGTGTTAGAACATGACAAGCGTTTAATTACTGCCTTCGACGTACTGGACCAAAGCAAGAGTGGTATGTCATTTTAACGGCGTAGATAATCCTCCACAGGTCGTTTAACGGCAGATGACATCCGCGAAACTTTCAAACAGTTTGGAATGCCAGTTACTGCAGACGAAGCTGAACGCCTTTTGAAACGCGTAGACCAAGCGGGCAATCTCAATATTGATTATGGGGAATGGAGGGAGTTTCTGCTGTTTCATCCTGCTGAGGACGTTGCTAAAATTCTGGAATATTGGAGGCATGATAGTGTGAGTTTGCATATGCTTTAACCTTGACTTGATGGTAATCATGTGGTATTTCCATTTAGGATGGGCTGTTATTCAAATTGCATGTCCCCGTTTTCCCCCGCTCTCTGTTATGTTTCATCCGAATTACAGAGCACCTTGGGAATCACCGCTTTAGATGTTTGAAGAGATTCACCAACCTAGGGTTTCGGTAAATGACCTTTGAGAAATGCGTCGCCTCAGAAAGTATTTTAGGCTTCATAACGACTTACTTTCAAATGAAAACTTGTTTCGGTTATATTGCAGCTTTAGTCATTTAGTGTGGTACATCTCTTACTCTAGTGTAGCCTGACACTCGACGTTCTTTCAGTGCAGCCCCGCAACTGAGGGACAACGTGGAACCATCTCGATTGTTGATTACCGGAAATCTCTACTGTATCCGAAAAAGTCGCAATAATAAACAATCGCGCGTAACCACTCGAGATTCCCCCTTAGTGAAGGCTCATCTGTTCTCGAACTTCCTGTTTCACTACTTTTACCCAATATGCCATCGCCCCTGTATTCAAATTAGCGCATCGCGATGATCACCTTTCCGTTCCACGATACTGATAACTGTTCTCTAACGATAGTAATCACTTCACATGGCCTCCGATAGATCGGTCATTTTTAGGTGTTTGCCCATCGTGTACCTATCCGTGCTCTCTTTGCACTCGTTCACTTCTCTGTACCTCATGTAATGATACATGTGCATGGTTATCCAGTAAAGGAATTAGCAAGGTACTCGAACCTCACTATCCGCGACAATGTCTAACCACTAACTACACTGATCCGGGGGTCACCAACTGAGGATTCTGACGCAACTTCCATGTCAAGGTGTTCTGGTTGGGGTTTCCAGGTCTTGGTCTAGTTGCCCCACCAGACTAGTGCAATACGGCATAAATAGTGGAGAAACGCCGTACAGGTGGATGTGACGGTGTATTAGATACGTCAGTTATCAAACGCCAACCCTCAATCCAACCGCCAACCTGTCGTCCGTTAAGGGTCCCGCAGGTGATTTAGTTGCCTGGGTATCCAAATTTCTCTTTTTGCTATCTCATTTCGGGTAAGCTTGAAAGTTGAACTCCGTTCTACACATTGGAGGTGCCAAATGGGTACCGAACAAGACTATGCTACAACTCAAACTATTTATATTAACTTGCAGCTTATTTGGATCGTCACTAAGTAGCAGAGCGAGAGAGAGAGAGACGTGGTGTGATGGCTTGCGTGCATCCATGACCCTGCGAGCTATACAGGATGGCTCCTCATCCCTACATCTAAGTATGCCTGCAAGGTCAGACGAATCTTGGTCTCACATGATCAGCTGCTTGGGCACCTGGCTTCCTTTGACTATCCGCTTTCCCCTCTGGAGAGGTCACTCCAGCAAATAAACACGGGGAGGGGCAGTTTTGCCGGTTGAAAGCCCCCGCTAGATAGACGTAGGAGCGGAGTACCTGGGGTTTCCTCCCGACGGTTGGGGAAAGCCTTCGCACTTCACTGGACAGCTACCGCCCGCCCGAGCTGTACCGCCCCCAGCCAATAAAGTACTGTGCCGTCCACGTTTGGCCTGTCTCATTGGATGAATGAGGCTAAGGGCAAATCCCGAATAGCGGACCAGCGAACAACACATTGAACCGAAACCCAAAGACCTTGTGTGACAGGTCTCTAGGAGCTCCCACACGAGTGCTTCGGTCGCGCTCCCGCGTTGGATCTACGCCCCACTCCCCTGTGGGTCAGACTTTTGAGTGAAAGGTTCTAGTTAGGGTTCTCCAAGAAAATCCCTTCGTTACCGCGATGTATGTCATGGCACAGATCTTAGTTACCCATTTGGAACACCCTCTTTCTCGTCTGTCCAGTTCCTGTTCTCAGTCCTAAACCTTAAGAGATGCCTGCTGTTTGCTCCATCCATGGGATATCCCTCAGCGTTCAACTGACAAGGTCACTCAGAAGCTTTCAGATTTTGGAAACCAAAATGCTCCTTTTACTTAGCCGCATTCAATGTCCACTATCAGACCGGTCAACAAGCTACATCAACTAGAACCCTTGAAACTTTAAATTTGGATGTATGCTGTTTCCGAAACACGCATACATGACCCTACTTCAACCGTCACCTTGCGATCTCAAAATCTGACCTCATCCTCACTCCTAATTCTTCGTCTCCCATTATTCGGCATCCGAAGCTCGCGGCGTTGCCGGTGTTGGAATTGCGGTAAGTGTCAACGCCGAGAGTTCACTTCTCGAATGAATTTCGGTTAACAACTGAGTTTGCGCTGTACGTCTTGATGGTTCATTTCTAGTCAGCAGCTACAAAACTAACCGTCAATGCTTATTCGTCCTGTCGGTGTATGCACCGAACGATAGTAATTCATCCGAACTAAAGGATGAATTGTACAAGGACCTCTCAACTGCTCTAAAGTGCTCGGTCAACGGGCATAGTGGTAGTCGCTGGAGACTTCAATGCTCAATCGGGATCACTGTATGAATCACAAAGGTTACTTGACGGTTCGCATCCAACCCCAGCTAACTGGACTAACAACGGAGAACGCCTACTTCAACTTTGCCCGAGCGATGTTTCTCCGAGACGGGTAGTGGATGGAAAAGAGTAAGGGGCGGTCAAACTAAGACTTGGCATGAGGGTATGAAAACCCTAACCAGGTAACTGGGTCAAATAGGTCCCGTTAGGCACGCGTGTGGACTAATGCCAGATGAGGTAACTCGTCGATCTGGTTGAATACCACAAGGTGTCTTGTCAATACCGAGGACTTTCGAACCCCATAAAATCCTTCTTGCAATCAAGGTCAAAGAGGAAGTACTTGGAGAACATCTGCGTGAGCGTCGACCAACCTTTCACGCTTCATCATATCTGACAACGTGGTATAGATGGCGTTCTCGTCGCTTTGATGGTTGCTACCGTCGTTCGATCTGAATCAATCGTTTCATGAAATGTTGTGGCAGAAAAATGCTGTCGTTCTTGTCAGTTCTTATCAGACATGCTTAGTGGCTGGACACCCTAGCAGTACCCGTCCGTCAAACCCCAATGCGTACGCATTGCGAGTTTGGCAGCGATCATCGAAGTTCGCTTCTCTGTGTTTCGCTGTACAATGATGATGGTGTTAGGCACCCTGGCTAGGGACCTCGGGCTGATTGTAACTGGCGGTTAGAGACACTTATATGACAGTGGCGCTTGTGCATCTCAATATTCTTGCAACCACAATCTTTATGAATTCTCTATCTTCTTGAATTTGCTCTCCAGATTCTAATCATTCTGCCGTTTTATCCAAATGGACGGCAGCAATCAAAAACGGCGCACAAAAGCGAATGGTTAATGATTGTAAAAACTGAAACATGGTAGCCTGCCTCCTGGGAGCCCATTGATGCTGCTATCCTCCTATGTGGACACATTTCCAGATTGACCCATTACATAGTTCCAAAACACTTGGAAACTTCGGTTGATTTGACTAACTCTCCGGTAATCGAGAGAGTTTGTGTCGTGGCAGACGTTGCGGTCAAAAATGTCTTGGTTTTTGAGGTATTAATCTAGCCCAATGGCCTGGACAAACTGGTTTATACGACTGACAGATTGGAGGTTGTTCTTGGTTTCTCAAAGCAAAACGATATCATCCGCAAACTCGAAGTCAGCAATCGATGTACCTGGGCCAATCTGCACTCCGGGGTAGTCGATGAGTGCTTGTTGCACTATCCAATCTACAGTATAATTGAATAATCTGGATACCCTCGGATTAAGAAAAGCTGAATGCTACCAGGCGCGTCCTCGGGTTGTGGATAAGGGACACCTTCACCGAAGAAGGTTAGCTGTGAATAAGTTATAAGCAGTCGTGGACAAACAGCGGCGGCACTAATACGGTGTTGTGGGCTTCAGGCCGGTCACTTGGCTCCTGTTTAAGAGCCACATATATCCAATGACGGTGTCGTGACAAAGGTCGATGTGATTGGTTTTTTAGAACTAAAGTCATTGACCAGGCGAAAAATTACTTCCTGCTGCCTGGCAGTTCGCACTTGGTTGCATAAAGGCTGAAGATGCCCCCTTAAAATGAGAAACGCCTAGTGACGCTAGGGACGTCTCTCGTACCAAACTCAACTTTATGATAATTTTTGTCTTGAGCCGGTTTATCCTTTCTAAGGAGCCAGCCGTAGTAAAGTAAAGTAAAATTAGGTACTGAACAACACCCTTGATAGGATATAACCTTGTCTGACTCCAGAGATTAGGGTAACCTCAGCTTGCCCGGGTTCCTGAGTAGTATGACTTTAAAAGCAATATGCACCACAAGGATTCTCTATCGGTAGAGTCAAAGGCAACGCAGAAGTCGATGAAACGTGCTGTGGTGGGCTGTTGAAACTTGTAGCGGTGTTCCAGGATCTTACGGAGAGTGAAAATTTGTTTAACAGCCTCTTCCGCGAGGAAACCTTCTTTGGTTCGGGTGGTTGCGGGTATCTCTGACGACCGCAAAGCGATTAAGCAGTATCACTGCAAATAATTTGGCTAGAATATCAATGAGGCTGATATCCCTGTAATTTTCGCATCTAAATCTGTCAGCGGTTTTTGGAACCGGAACCACAATGTTTTATAAAAACCTCTTTCCCAAACTGAGTAGAAAAGAGGGTGCAGCAGATCGATCAGAGGTGGTAGGCAGGCTTTGGATGTCTTTGGTGGTATCCCGTCTTATCCAGGGGCCTTGCTGCATTCCAGAGAAGTGACTGCCTTGATGATTTCTGTCCTACTAGCTGAGTCACAATTGATGTCGTAGGTCTCCGAACTGCTTGACACCTGTGGAGAACCAGGTTAGTTTGATGGGTGGCTGATCAGCCCGTCAAAGTGTTCAATCCACATTTGTATTTTCTGTTCAGTTCCCTGAATTAGTCGGCCTGTGGTGCTGCGCAACAGTGGCTCCGATATCTGTCTCTTTCCTACTGCGACACGGATTAGACGGAATGGCTTTTCAAAGTCCGCTGCGACGGTTGCAGCCTCCATGCTGTCTACAGTCGCCTTC